CCTGTTAACCAGGACTGCTGATAAATGATGGAGAGCGGCTTGGCAAGCTCCTCCACCAGCTCCCTCAGCACTCTTGGGTGGATCTCATCAGGCCTGATAGACTTGTGGGTGTCTAGGTGGCATAGGAGGTCCTTAATTGCTTCCTCCTGGATTATGGGGAGTTTATTCTGCTCTCCATCCCTGTCTCCCAGCTCAGGGGGCTGAATACCCTGAGGATACCTGCTCTGGCTCTTATAGACTGAGGCAAAGAAGGTATTAAGTACCTCAGCCTTTTCCTCATCCTTGGTGACATTCCCCCCCACATCCAGTAAAGGATGGAGATTCTTCTTGTCTCTCTTTTTGTTGTTAATATATTTATACAAACATTTTTTGTTATCCCTTATGGCCGTGGCTATAATGAAATACCAACTGTTGAAATTCTGACTGCAGTAAAGGTTAACTGAGACAACATTCATCATTGAATGACCAGTGCAAAGCTCAACAATAATTTTATTAAGTTTATAGTTTGTAGGTTTTTTTAAATAAGAAATTAATATTGTTTACACCTTTTCATAAAGTCACTGACGCAACTCATTTGACTTCACATCTTCATTTTCATCTTTCTTTACTGTACTGGTTTTCTGTTTTTCCATCTTGTGGTATGCTTTCAACTCCTTGTCAGACATGTGTCTCAAAATACAGGTACTCACTCCTTCTCTAGTAACTTTTGGCTTGGAAAGATAAGTGGCTTTCTCAGACACAGTCTCCAAAATCTGATCGAAAAGCATGAACTAAGGAGAAGGAGAAAAATAGGACTGAATGCATGAACAGGTGGAAAAATACTCGAGGCTTTCTTGTAATAATGCAATGTCCTGCTCGTGGTTTAGCTATTAGCTGAAACAAGCTAGTTACTAGTCCTGGTTTGAGCAGTTCAGCTTGTCCTTTCCGAACCATTTGTTCTTTACACATAAGCAGGTTTAGGAAAGGCACCAGAGGGATTAAGTCATTTCCTAACACTTAGATTAAATTCCTGACTTATCCCATTTTGCTGTTTAAAGGTGTTTGTGAAAGTGGACTGCATCCAACTCCTCCGCACCCTCCTCTTCCACTGGATTTGAGTATATTATTATGGAGCTTTCCTCTTAAGGGGCAGTATTGTTCTAAGGTTAGCAGAATGTGGTAGTAGTGAACTGCGTGATACAGTGCATTCACGTAACAAGCTGAACTCTTAAGCTCATAATTAAGCTTTTAAATTTAAGGACAACCTACATCTGGACTGCATCATGAAATGTTCTGCTCCCTCCCATATGCAGTTCTTCCTCTTGCTACCCTTTCCCTGTGAATTCACCTTCCTATGAAAAGTTTTGTTCTGTTTGGAGTGATACCACATTTTTTCCATCAATTTAGTGGAGAGAACCATCAATGAAACCTAATACATGACACACATTAAAAGGAAAAATAAATCTTACATGGAATCTTTATGGAAAAGCCATTTGTGCAAATAACAATGAAGACAAGTCTGAACGCCCTGCAATTATGCTAGTAAGTTGCCACCACCTCTGTAACATCTTTATAGAATGTTTACTTTGCCAGTCTTGAAACACCATTTCAGTAGTTTTTCACACAGCACTGGGCAGGTAACATTAGCCTGTTGCACAAATGCATCTTCAGAAGAACAGTTAAGTTATTGAAATAATCCAGCTAAAATTCAGCAGAATTTTTTAAAACCTTAAAAAATGTTTTAAAAACTTAAAAACCTGTTAAACTTTTCAGTGAGTAAGCTGGCTTAAGGCATAGACAGGAAAATTTCACCAGCCCAGTTAATAAGGTGGTGCTGCAGAGGAGCAGGATCTGCTCAGACTCTTGTCAAAGCCGGTATTATAACTGCATTCTTAAGAAAGCATGGTATTTGAATTGTTTCTGTGGGACTACTTTTCTAGAACTGCAGTGCTTGAACAGATGGAGCCTAAGGTGGGGCAACCGTTACTCTCATGGGACCTAGACCTTCACTTACTTTAGCAGGACATCATCTATCAAAAAAACATGGTGGTACTGACTAGGGGATGTTAACACAAGTACAGCTGTTTAATGAAATTGATCGGTCCAGCTTTCAGGAGTCCACTTACCATGTCTGTCTTGTTATCCTTTGCTTGCCGGATGGTAACTTTAACATGATATTTCTTTTCAATCCACTGTGCTATCTGTTTAGTCTTGGTCTCTAAGTCGTTCTTGGCAATAGCTGAGGAAAAGGATAACTCCTTCTGAACCATCCCTGTTCAAAACAGAACTAAAACTGTGTTGGCTTAACATCTGACAAATCTGTATTGGTTGCTCTCTTTCAACAGCTTACGGTGTTTTGTCTGCTTAATTCCCTTCCCCCTTGCTACTTTCTCACACTGAGTGCATGTTTGAGGCATACAGGGAAGTCTCTTCAGGGTCAGAAGGCTTAAAAGTATTTTTATTTTTATTACAGTTCATACCACCCACAATACAGGTCTAACAAAGATAAACAGGTAAGCATTGGATCTAGAATTAAAGACTTAGGGTGACTTAGGGTGCAAATTCCTACGTTCTGCACATAGCATAGCTGAATGTAAAAGCTTTGAAGTTGGATAGCTCTTCATTGCGAGCCCATTTTCATGAATAAAGTGCAATATTCAGCTGGTAGTATGATGCCTTGTAATATATTTGAACAATTCGTAGTCTCTTCCTCCTTAAAGATTCTCTAAAGTAGTTACCATTTGAATAATCTTTTTTGTAGTTTCTTGAACAGAAAAACTCACTACCACAATAGTGCTCTCCTCTAAAATCGGAACTCTACCCAAAGCACAGATAACTTCGTTAGCCTGAGGATAAGAAGAGGATAAAAGATCAGATACCTTTTCTAAAATCTCTTTGCCAAACTCTGTTAAACTGCTGGAGCAGGCTGACTTAAGAAAAAACACTGAAAAGTGTTCAATATTGAAAATGTTGTTCTCTGACTCTGTACAAGAAAGGGCTCAAGGCTTTGTCTTCCTAGAAGCAAGGCAAGAAAGAGAATGTTTCGTGTCTACTGTTGACAAAATTATGTAATTATATTGGTGTATTTGGTGTTCAGTTTGTAAAAACTGCGTGTCAGTTTAGGTCTTAGAAGAGAGAAATTCAGTGAGTCTCACGGAACCAGAGTCTAGTCGTATTCACTTAGATAAAAATAGACTTTTAAAAAAAGCCAGCAGATGCCAAAATAGTAAATCCTGAGAATGCAATATAGAATGCTTCTGTGTGGAAGACCACACTAATCCAAAATTTTATTTTCACCACTGCAAATCCTTAACAGTGTGGACTGCAGTGACATTGCTTTGGATTTACACAAATGTAAGTAAGAGGATTTCATCTGCTGAAACCACTTTTAATGCAGCATTTTTCAAAGTGCTCAGTGTTGTGTCAACAACGTACGTACCTGATTTTGGACTTGCTTTTTTCTTCTCTGCACGTTTAAGCTGTTCTTCATGAATCTGCTGCCCAGTCATTAGTCTGTATACAGGAGGTTCTGCATTTTCACGAAGGAGAACTAGTTTCAGGTCTTGTTGATCCATAAGTTTGAGAGCCTCTGCTCGGTGCATATTTCCTAAGCTCTCTCCATCCTGGCTGATTACGTGCAAAATCCGATAGGGAATTCTTCGCCCAACACTTCCAAATGCTGCTTTCCTTTTTGGTTCCTTGTGAGATTTTTCAGCTGTACAAAATGGTTGACTAAGTCCAAACAGAGTTGACTTTCTAGGGTCAGGTACCACCATCCAGAATGGAGAAAAGACCCTCTTTTGTGGTGTTTGTGTCAGAAGAGTTCCAAATAATCTTCTTGCATATCTATTCCCATTTCCGGTTGCTTGACATAAAAGTTTCATCACACAAAAGGCAGTCATTCTGAGGAAGCAGGGAAGAAGAAAAAACAAGTTACCCCATCAGTCAGATTCCACTAGTTTTATTAGAAAGACTTCACTCCAGCTGAGTAAACCCTAGTCCTTAAAACTACTTTTTCAATAAGATGAATGGTGTAACTATACAGAAGGAGCAATCGACAGTAATTTTACAGTAATGGAGGGCTTTAACCCAGAGGGAAAATCTGACAGGAACAAAATTTATGAAGAGTTGATGTTATCTTCAGTATTTTAAAATTTGAGCCTGAACTCCTTAAAAGAATCCAATACTTCTAGTTCATTTCTCCTCACAGGAGTATCTACTCTTACACTGCTTTTCTGTGTATAGAGAGAGTAGTTAAGAGGGAGAATTTGCTGTCAAATACAAAGGCATGTCACACTTGCAGTATTTTCAGTCCAGATTTTTTTCATTAAGTATCTAACACTAGGACTTTCTTCATGGTTCCAATACTCTTCTTTGGAAAGTGTTTCATTTAAGCTGTATTAATTCAGAACCACCCTAATCACGTAGTGAATGAAGTGGCAATTTGTGCAACGTCTGTCAGCAGCCATCCCAACATCTACAGCCTCATTCTTCTGTTTTATAAGGTTTTTGAATTTCAAAGCCTTGACCGACTATACAGAGTGAGACTACCATGCAAAATCTTCACCTTGCATTAAAACATGATGAAGTAACAATTACTATACTTGAAAATATTGTTTATCCCAGGGTTGAAAACTCCTCCATTGCTAGCATGCAACTTCCTTCTCATAGCACTCCCAAATTATGTATTTTTCCCAATTTTCCAGATGTCATTTTGTGGAAGTAATCCAGCTAGTTACTTGGTCTTATATGGATTAAGCACTGATGTTATTTCAGTAACGTTAAAAAAAAAGTGTCTTCACTGTCTTTTAAGCACAAGTTCCACAGATTCAGACATGCTTCAAAGTGAAAATAGTGCCTTAATTTTAAAGCTATTTTATCACACATTTAAAGTATCGATTGACTTTCCCAGGTTTTCACAAACATTACATTTAGGGTGGCACATTCCTATTTATAGTGAGCTGATTTTTTCCCAGTTATCAAAACTATTTACATTTCTTACATACAGAAAGCACACACCTAAGTACCATTTCACCAGAACCATCTAATAAAAACACCGATAATGATATTTTTCTTCTTCTTGAATGATGAAAAATGTTTTTGTGGGAAAAAAAGAGAAAAATAGAGACACAGATAAGACTTGCCTGCAATACACGGACTGGAAAATAAGCAACTGATTCATATGCCTAAGATCCCCACTCTGCAAATTAAAATTTAAATAAATTGTTACAGGCATCTGTCCTGCCATGGTACTTATGAAGCTATAAATGTTCAAAACAAGCTTCAAAACAAAACAGTTCTTAAAATTTGAAGACCACATGAAACTGATCTTTGAGATATTTCTTCCATTGTATTTTTTTCACCATTCTTCCCTCATTCATGGAATTCCCCCAGTAATTTTGGTGCACCCGACCATTACTTGCACTTTCTTCAAAACTTCAGAAAATGGCCATTTTTCAACAACGGCAAAAACTTTAGAAATAAAGAGCAAAGTGCGGAGTATTATCTGCAGTTCTGGTATTCCATGTTTAAAAAGCAGCAAGCACAGGAAAAGCCAAAGATGATACAGAAAACCAGAAATGGGTCATACCAGAGGAGTTGGCAAGAGCATGACTTCTTTTGCCTAGGAAGGAATGTGACTCCACTCTATAAAAATATACTTATAGGTATGTGTGACATTGTGTAAACATGTATCCATGGGTGCTCCCTCAGTAAGTTTGCAGATGAC